CTTGCTACCTTGACATGAGTGTTGAAAATTCAAGTCATCATCCATGGGCCCTGATTGGTATTGATGTCCAAATTGATTTCAGAATAATAAACGCCTGTACTGTCTTCATGATCCAATCCTAACTGTCTGGCTATGACACCCTCCTGACAAGAATTAATCTGCATTAACTTTTAAGTAATGCTAATAAATCAAACACAATACTTTGATTCTTCAAATTTACAAAAAAACTACTCATTCTATGTTTGTTTAAATTAGTCAATATAAACAAATGTGTGACATTTGTTCAATATTCAATTGCGCTATGTAAATAAATTTACTGGATAGTATGACGTTGCGAAAAGCTCACTTTATTTCAAAATGTTTTAATATATACACATTAGTATTATTTTTATTTTATTCTACTTATTGTGAAATATTCACGGCTTCATTGATTAGTAAGTTGATTCATGTAAGTATTATTGATTTCCTCTAGTGAGTCATTAAGGGATTAATAACAATATCCTGGATCCCACATTCATTTATTTATTCATCTACTTATAAGCCATAAATTACACGCTGATTGAATACTAGGTAGTAACTTGTGTCATGCATCTAATCGTTTATTTAATACAGAATGAATTGTGTTGGTAAGTCGGTTGGCACTGGGGGTACCATGCCACAGGGTGACTCGTCGTCATGGTGCATTCGGTCGTGAACTCGATTCTCAGAAGGGAGATGAGTTCCTTCAGAATTACAGAAACATGCTTCTGAGTGACACGCGTGAGTGACAACAAGCAAAAAAACCTAGGTCAGGTAGCACTATCTGCCGATCATCTCTAACCATCTACCATAATTAATGTCACACTCACAGTGAAGCAGCATTATTTACTGGACAACGTTTTGAACAGAATTTATTGCTCATAGCCATAAGATCAATTGTAACTTCACAACTCCCAGACTTTATTTCATTAATTCTAATTCTTCCTTCGCGTTTATGCTGAATCATTATTTCATTCAAGTGCTGGTTTGTAGGGATTTGATTGGTTTCAGGATTTCATCATGGGCTGACATTAGTTAGAGAACCACTGGAAACCCTGGGAGTACTGGACAGCTTTTTCGTCCTAGTTTGGGATTCTTCAGCAGTACGCACCCACCGGGATTCGAACCCAGGACCTTCCGGTTACAAGGCGAGCTCGTATACCATTAAGCCACTGGGACCCGATCCAATGGTCCTTGAATTCTAACTTCTGCCAATTCACGACATAGCGCGACCGCTAGCCAATGTCTTCGGCGAGTATTTGTCCTTTGGTTTTATTAGTAGTAACATTTTCAATATTTCTGGTATTGGTGTTGAATCATTCCTACCAAATGTGTTCAGGGTCTGGATTCGATGAACAACGAAGGTATCAGTGATCAACCTCACTCTTCACCTGCCTCTAATACTTTTTTATCTCTATCCCAACCTCTTGACTGTTTGTTATCAACATAGAACACTGCACAGATGTGCACCACTTCGAGTTGACACACTCCACTTCATGTAGCACACAATGGAAGAGAAAAGAGTAAGGTGAGACTCAATAAGAGAGAGATAATATGCAGAAGTATGAGTGAGGGAAAAAGAATAGTATTATGGAGGAACGCCAATAGGGTTTTATTGGATATGACTGGAAAGTCACAGAGAGTGAATGCATCCGCATCACCATTGACAGCGATCACTTTGAGACATCACCAATTGTCTTCAGGTATTGGTCTCTACAGTCTGGAGGACCTCAACCAGGAAAACAGACAGACAGACAGACAACCAGGAAGCCAGTGTACACCTGCCTAGGTGGCTGGCTTGAACCAACTGTCACTCATATGATTGACTGATAAAGCCATGTTTCAGTTTGACCACCACGTACTGGCTCTCACTTTTCCAACTTGATCAATCCTATGTCAGTTAGCTATTATTTCCAGTCGAGGAAGGTGATGGCTAAGGATGCATGCGTAACACATGTCCTAACCCTCTGAATCTATTCAGCTGGTCAAGGTAAGGATAATGTCTGAACTAACGTTTTTGGACGCACTAATTAGGCTTATTAATATGGATCCCAACAGCCTCAGCAATATTTCGTAGTCGAACTCTTAAGGCGAAATTAAGATTTGTTGGTATGCGATAAATGATGCTAAAAGCCTGGTTAACATCAATCTGTGTGTTCTGTATCCACAAGATGAGCCAGAATAGCGCTACGAATAGATTTTGTTTGTCCTTTACTTGACCACTATGCAGGGTGATGTTCGTTAATTCGACGAGAAACACGCCTAATTGTACGGCCTATGTAACTGGCTTCACATGAGCAATTAAATTGGTAGATACACATGGAAGAGGAGAAATTAGCAGTTTATATTTTACTCCCGAACGCAAAAGAGGAGTGATTTTGAAGACACAGCATAATTCAGCAGCACCAGGGAATGCTCTTTTTACCGCATTTCTAAGGCGCTGTCTTAGTATCTCGCTGATGTTATCCCAAAGTAACTGCATCTGTAAGAATAACGCCTTCCTTTTTAGGAACTGTTTGGTACCTTGGGCTGTTTTGATTTTAGATTCATATTCTTATCAATAAACTTTCTTGGATAACCATTTTCACTTAGCAACCGTTCAGTATTATTAAGTTCCTCATCAAGACATTCATCCGAGCGAATTCCTCTTGCTCTGTGAACCAGGCATTTTAAGGGCACGAAGCTGAAAAAATGAGTATACTGACCCGTTGATGTAGGTTTTCTATATACGCTTCTTCCTGTTGTCCCATCCTCTTTTCCATTCATAAGGACGTCTAGAAATGAAATACCTAAGTCTTTTTCTTTCTCAGTAGTAAGATTTATTGCAGGATGAACCTCGTTAAATTTATCCAGGATGCTCTTTGCTTCCTTCTCGTTTTTCATAATCAAAAAAGTATCATCCATGTACCTACAATAGAATTCAAGTTCATCAATAACATCCTTCAAAGGCCCATTTTCTTGTTCCGCAAGGAAAATGTCGACTAGAATGGGTCCTAGAGGTGATATCCCATCACCACACCGTCAATTCGTCTATATATTTCCTTATTAAATAAAAAGTGGACATTCATTGTGCATTTCAAGAGAAGGCCTTTCATAAAAGATATAAGAATGTCGACATCGAAGTTTCGTCTTTTGAGTTCTTCGCATGCAAAGTCCACTGTTTCCATTAGTGGTGGTATATTGGTGAATAAGGAAGATACGCCAAATGATATCATGAATTTATTGTCAACATTTAAATCTTGTATCCTTTCAACAAATCCGAAAGTATCCTTCACAGTGTGTTTCACCAATTCGGTATGAAGAGGCTGTAAGAGTTCGACTAACTATTTGGCCACGGGATGGTATGATGAATTTAACATATCTAATACTGGTCGAAGCTGTACACCATTTTTGTGCATTTTTGGCGAGTCATATAGTCTTGGTGTGAACGTTCCATTGGGTTTAAGTGATGTGTACTGACTCTATGAGATGCAGCCTTGTCGTTTCAGGCTTTTCAATGTTTCCGCTAACTGTTTCTCTATCTTTTCATTCGGATCCAGAGAAGAGAAGATTTTTTGGATTTTTAGATTATCATTAAGAATAATATTCACCTTCTAAAAGTAATCCGCTTTGTTCACGATAACCATTCCTGAGCCCTTATCCGGCGGTCTTGTTATTATTATGTTATCATTTTTACGGAGAATATCCAGAGCTACTCTGTTTTTTTGTCAATATACTATCCGAATTGCGTTTACTATTCATGTAATAGTAGCAACAATCGATCAGTGTTGATTTGAGTCTTTCAACATCTACAGTTGATGAGGGTGTTAGGCCTTCCGTTTGAATGTATAGACTTTCGAACTGAATATGTGCATCCATTTCGTTGCTTTTAACATGACTATCAGAAAATTTAGGGCCAACCGATAGAACCTGTAGATCCACTTCTCTAAGGACTACATCCGAAAAATTAAACACAAAACGATTAGGGTTCGGGGGAAATCTTGTTTCAGGTGCCTTGTTCTCCAAACCCTGTAACAGCTTTATGCGTTTCTTTTCTTTCCTATTACTCACAATTACATCCACATAATCTAATAATAGTTTCTTTAAGTTTCCTGGTAATTCATCGACAGCATAGACCCTTTCTGTTACGTTCTTCGATAACTCAGTAATACACACGTTTGAATTGAGTCAATCTGATTACGTGCATAGCGTTTGAGTGTCTTATCATTAAACCGAACACTCTTTTATGGTGTAGAGATTTCCAATAAGATTTAGGGTACCGGTTTGTTTCTTTCAATACACTGGTGGATAAAGTCAACAGTAGTAGTCTTTGCTTCGCTGAGGCTTTGCGCTATACTTCAAATACTCGTTGAGTACTTTTAACGCAAAATGATACACAGAAGATTTCAATATAACGAAAATATTCATACAGACATCTATAAAACACAAAATAATTGACCAAAGAATATCCTTTTCGATAAATTCCTCTTCTGGCTCTACAATTATATATATATATATATATATATATATATATATATATACATATATAATATTCTAGATTAGTAGTCAATATCAATATTAGTGACTTTTGTTGCGGTCGTCACGAAGCTTTCTTGATAGTTTGCGTTTGAGCAGCTTTCGCTCCTCATCATATTTGGAGCTCGTCGGAATCAGTCTTCTTGCGTCAGTTAGTTCAGGTGAGGCAGTAGAAAACCATTGGCTCTTACTAACTTTGGCTTTCAGTTTATTAACAGCCTTTACAGTTGTGTCTACAGCTAGCTAACTGTATGTTGTGCCAGGCTTCCTTAGAAGCAGTCTTACTCTGGACGTCAGATACTCGTTTCGCTGTTTCTACCTTAAATAAGGAGTCAGTGATATATATCACTGAAAAGAGCAACTCTTCGCAGAACGCCTCTTCTTTTTTCACATTTTTATATACCGCGACAACGACGATACTGACAGGAGTTATCTCTACCAGAACAACACTAACAATAGCACAGAAATTGGATAAAAGACACTACATCTAATCTCGTTTTATTGCTCAAGGATTATCGATTATTCGTTATCATAACACCAATTAAAAAAAAGCGATAATTTTTCTTTCAAACACTTATTTTTATTAGTGTATTAATGATCAAGAATTCATACAAAAAGGAGAGTAAGAGACTATAACATGATACGTGTTATGCAAGAAGAAGAAGTCAAATTCAATTGGACGTATGTCTGTCTGTGTATGTGCATGTGTGTTTGTGTGTGTATGAACGAAGCGCACACAGTGATGAAGTGACAGTTCTCAAGAATTCTTCACCGAAATAGGCATCGAGATGACTTTTGTTTGGACATAACAGTCGATTGCTTCTTTCCCACTAAAACATACAACAACAAAAACAACAACAAAAGGGAATATGAAGAAACAGCATATGAGACAAACGGAACGTGAATATACATCGATTTTATCATAAATACTTTTAGTTATTCCTTCACGTTCCCACTAGTGGAACATAGAGGGGATTGAAGATGGAGATTTGAAGTGTCAGCAGCAACAGTGTTTATTTCAACAGTTTGGGGTCGCTAGCCTCCCGTCCAACCACCTTCCCTGTCTTATTATTGGCTTAATGAGGTGTGGAAGTGCGTGTGTCGGAGATCGAACCTAACCGCATACATGGTTAGCGTGTATTCTACCGCTAAGCCATGGACGACGCACATCATAAATATTGAATCAGCAAAAGATTTCAGAATTATTCAATCACCACAGAGTAGGCAAGAATGAATAGTAAACAGTCAGTCAGACAGATGCGTAGCTGTTTGCATAAACCACCGCCCCCCCCTCACCCCGTCCACACACACACACACCACTGAGACAACCATAATTCCCTCAACTGACTTGATTCATCAGTCATGTCAAGGAAATGTTACATAACCATTTGAAAAAATCTCCTCCTAGAGATTGAGAAATCGTCTAACCCTTTTCAACTAATAACCATCATGATCAATTACCGCTGTAAATTAAACCACTTCGATAAACACTCTGTACTCAGCATCATTGTACACATATGTTAGGCAGACTAGAAACCATTTTATGAATAGTTTGAGCATCAGGATTAAGAGATCTGTGGTAAATAAGTGAATTCTCTTCAATTCAATTTGAACTTTCTCTCTGATTGGTTGGTTGGTTGATTGAATGACTCATGGGACTGAACTACTCCGCCTCAGGTTGACATGTCAGCTCCTTGTGTAGATGCCTCTACAATGTCTGATTATTTAACTTGAAGTAAATTGGTGGATGATTACTAGCAATGGAACCCTGGACAACGCGCACTTCGTCCTATTTCGGACTCGTCATGTGTAAATAACTTCATTTCCCAGTGGGAACACCATCATTTACTGAGGAATGCAGGTACATCCAGTTAGCTGACAAGTTTCAAATAGGAAGCAATCGCATGCCGCTTTCACGTCAAGAAGTATGACAATTGTCGGACGCCGAAGGTAAGTACGCCTATGTTTCGGAATTTGTTGAAAAGCAAAGATATGATCAATACACACTCTTCCTGGTTTAAAGCCCACATGGTTCTGCTTATAATAAAATAACGTGAGTCAGTGTTTAGTTGGCAGAATATTCACCAAACATGAACGTGGTCCAGAGTTCAATTTCCAGCTGACGCACTCCTAAAGCTCTCCAAGTCGGTGGTAATAAGATCGGTTAAAAGAGGGAAGATGTTTGGGTGTGAGGCTAGCAACCTCACATCTTGTAAAACATAATACAAACGCTACCGAAGCTTCAGAACCCACGGTCGAAGACTTTTATTCCACCCGGGACACAATGGGAATAATGATAATAATAATAATAGAACAAGAGCTCGTTTATAGAAATAATACTTACAGTTCACGTCCTATACCAGACATTTTAAATCCACCAAATGGAGCTTGTGGATGAGCTGTATTATAACAATTGATCCTTGAAAAAAATAGAAATAAACATTGAAAAACAAACGAAGAATTAGTCTTGGCGGATAGTTTAAAAAAAAGATGAAACATGAGATATTAGAATTAATAAGCTGTCAATTTAAGTGAAATACTCAACTTATCTTCGAAATATCAACCAGTAAATATCAAAAATACTGACTTCGCAATAATAGACGCGCTAGGTGTCCCCTGTTCTCACCATTTATTTATATGTCGTACATTGAGAATTTATTGGAGGATTTAATCGAAAATGTGCCACTTTATAGAAGGTATGTAGATGTTATTGCAATCATCAGTGATAAGGGCTTTGTTCTGCCACCTCAATACAAAGTCGAATGAATGAAGTTCAGAATAGCAAGCATATCACTTACGTCTGTAGAAGAGAAAGATAATTGTTTCTCTTTTCTAGACATATTGCTTAGTCGGCTGACGGCCTGATGGATCAATAAAACGATCAATTTATAGAAAACCTACCTACTTGGACAGGACAGTATCTTAATTTTCTATAGTTTGATTTGTAAGGGTTTGTTATGTTTTCACCAGTTGATCTCTAACTGATATCAATCCGTGATCAACTCGTAAAAAGTATCTTAATTACCACAGTTTCTGCCCTGTTCCGTACAAAAGTAAGGTAAGTAGTAAGGTGCCTCTTCAGTAGAATCCAGCGAATATGCACTGAAGACATACTTGATGATATAAAGTAGTCAGAAAACCAAGACCCGCTCTCCGACTCGCCACTATGAAAGACGTGTACATCAAAGCTACCCTATATGGGGCATCATAGCAGCTTGATAACTAGACAAAGACTGAACGCTGCTGTTAAAAAAGACTTTCTATGCAGCTAATATCACAATAATTGCAAATGTGAAGTCAATATATCTATCTAAGCCCTTCGAACAAGCGTAAAAATGATGTCACATTCCATTGTATTTAGCAATTTGAATGTACGTGTGGCCACACATACATATGAAGGACTCATGGATCTCTGTAAGTAAGGGTTGGCTTCAGAGCATATTCCTAAATGGCTCTAGAAACAAATCGAAAATACTGACTGTGTTTACTTTGAATAAGGCGAAAATATTCATTCAGACATTTAGGAAAAACAAATAAAAATTTGGGTGAAGAATATCCTTTCCGATAATTTCCACTTCTCGGGCTCTACAATTATGTATATATGCTTACATGCATAGAATATTCTAGAATAGTCGTCAATAGCAATAAATAATATCGATTCGTTAAAAAAGATCAATGAAATTACAGTTCATTCACCATTAGATCGGGACCCAGGAGTTTAATGGTCAATGAGCTCACTGGTCTTGTAACCACAAGGTCCTGTGTCCAAACCCTGGAAGTGGGTGCGTACTGATGAAGACTTACAAACTAGGACGAGACAGCTAGCTATCCAGTACGCTCTAGTGGTTTACCAATGGTTCTCTAACCGATATCACCTCATGATGTAATCCTGTAACCAAGGACACATAAGTTATACCAAGCGTAAAAATACAATAGCAAATAGAATATCAAATAAAATTAAAGAAATTTCCACAACAAATTGAGGATCATCAAAACCTTGATTGATGACCAAGATAAGAACAGTGTCTGAAGCAACCAACTTCTTCTTTTGGATACATGAGTCAGGCTTCTTAATGTGGAGCCCAACAGTCAACCTCAGGAATATATATAGTGGACGAACTCTTAAGGTAAAAATCAGTTAAGATTAGTTGGCTGGTATCCGCGGTAGATGACTATGAAAGCTGCCTCGTTAACATCAATCTGTGTTCTGTCTCTTTATCCACAAGATGAGATAGAATAGCACACTATGTGAATGGATTTTGTTTGTCCTTCACTTAATCACAACTGTACAGGATGATGTTCGGAAACCCGACGATAAACACGCCTGACTGTATGGCCTATGCAACTACCTGGCTCCACAGGAGCAGTCAAATCGGTAGATGCACATACGAGAGGCGAAATTACTTTGTGTGTGAGTGTGTTTGTGTTAAATATTACACTAAACGGATGAATTTGGAAGAAACAACGACAATACGAGCTGATTAGTGGTTAATATTTTTGCATTCTGTGAACACCAAACCAACGAAAAAATGTAACAGTAAATGGTCGTTTTGTACACTGTTTAAACATCATTGATAATGTTTTCTAATAAATACTGACTGTAAAAATGAAGCATAATATATTCATTGAAATTATTTGATGGATGGCGGTGGGCAGGGGAATCCAGGGTAGATGTTTCGTCCTATGCTGGCACTCGTCAACTGGATGTAGCCGCAATCCCTAATCAGTAATGTTGTTCCCACAGACACAGGCAAGCGAGATAGTGTTCTTGAGCCCATTTTAGATAGGGGATACGCGTCAAACTACCAATGTATCTCCTGGCTGGGTGCACAGCAACAGGTGAACTGAGTTGAGCTGAACTCACTTTACTGTTATTCAATGTATTAGTTACTACTCAGCATCTTACTCATCTCTTGTCCTTATTATGTAACTCTTTTGTCTTTATATGCAAACTTGAAGTCTGTGAGTATAAACTCTACATAAGTGTAATTGCTGAGTACTGTTCATTAAGTTCATAAATAGGAAGTAAGTATATGAAGGTAAATCTTATTGTTATTATTATTATTATTGGAACGTTCAAAAATGCACTAAATGTAACACCAGCCATCATCTATGTACACATGAAGGTAAAAAACAAGACAAGTCAAGTCTGTTAATCTTGTGCTTCGTTGGCACGGCTGTAGAATGCTCGCCAACCACGCCTCATGTGGTCCACGGTTCGATCCCTGGCCTCCCGGCCGATAACTGCTACCTTGTCGTGGTGGTCAGGCTTGAATACCGTAATGACTTAACATGCTAAACTGACTTGGACCTGTCACTGCAAGTCCTTCTATCATGTCAGGAAGGTTTTTTGGATAGCAGTTAGACTAAAAGCAGTTACCATGCGGTACATGAGCTCCAGTATCATCCAATCGGATCAAATGGCGTATGAACCCATATGGGTCACCGTCAACCATGGGAATGCAGCTCCTGACGCTGCTCCGCTGCCTTGTGGATTAGACTCCAAGTCAAAGACTCGGGGGGGTGGTCCCTTAATAAAACCACCTGCTTCGGTCTGGGCGCCCGGATAGTATCACAGCCCTCATACAATGAATTGAATGAAGCAACAAACAATCAATGAAACTTATCGCGTGCTATTACACGAGTTGCAATTTCCTTCTTTTTTCCCTTCCCGCGATGATAGTTAACGAATACTGTTTGAACTTGTTAAGCATGACTGTTTTCCTTCCAGATGAAGTTCTTTTTCCGTTCTCAACTTATATATATTTTCCTCTTCTTTCTTTTTTTCTTTTGATCTATGTTGTTTTATTATTATTGTGTAGCCCATCGTTCTTGGTGCCATATTGTACCAAGTTTTTATACGTTTAAATAAATAATAAATAATCCCTGACCGACACACTCCCTCACCTCTCTATGCCAATAATAAAACTGGTAAAGAGAAGGAAGGTTGGGCATGAGGCTGGTTAGCAACTCCATCCCACAAAAATAAATAAAAACACCAACCACTGCTACCAAAAACTTCAAAAACACTCCAGCTTGAAGAAATAAACAAAACAAAAACAAGCAAATGTTAATCTTACCAAACACTTCCAGCTTCTAAGCCTTCAGCAACTCTCATCGCTTTATCCATATCCCTGGTAACCACACCACCGCCTAATCCATAATGTGTAGCATTCGCTCGTTCAATCACTTCTTCCAGCGTGTCAAATTTTAAAATACACTGAACTGGACCAAATATTTCATCTTTGGCGATGCACATTTCATCTTTAACATCAGCGAATACAGTCGGTTGAATAAAATATCCTTTTTGACCGATACGATTACCACCGGTAATCAATCGAGCACCTTCTAGCTTGCCTTTTTCAATATAGGACATCACTTTTTTGAATTGTATATCATCAACCTTAGGAAACGAAAAGAAAAGTTTCGGAATACATGATCACGATTGTCAGATTATTTACTATACAGGTCAGATTGTGTGCAGGTCAAGGTCACAAATAGTGGGTGGGGAGGTAAGAAAGAAAAAACAGAAAATAAAGAACGGGTTGAAAAAATATCATTAAGTAAACTAAACCCTGGTTTTAAATTGGATTACCAAGGGAGGTTTGAAGTAATCACAAATAATTTTTGGACATATTAGATAGGTTTAACATCCCAGGCCAATCACCATCAACGGGAGGGATTTGAAAGAAGTTACTTCATTCACTTCATTATCTAGGGAGCATTGTCTCAACTACAGGAGGAACGGACGAGGATGTCAAATCGAGAATCGGGAAGGGGAGAAACACATTCATCAACCTGAAACCAATCTGGAAATCTTCGTCACTCAGCCAGCATCAACAACAAAATTCAGTCGGATTTTCAATACGTCAAAAACGTCAAGTCAGTTCTACTACACGGATCTAAAGATTGGCAGGTCACAAAGAATATTTCCAACAGCCTGTTGCAGACCTTTATCAACCAACAACTGTCTTCGCACTATACTGAATATCAGATCAGATGGGCGGGCCGAAAAAAATCACCAACAAGAAACTATGGGAACAAACAAAACAAGAATCAATCGCCAACCAACAAATATGCAGGAGAAAGTGGAGATGAATGGAGATGGACACTCGCTGAGGAGGTCGCTGGGTGACATCGCGCGCGCGTCAGGTCATTGCTCGAGTGGAATCAGGCCGAAAGGGAAGCGGAGAGTGGGTCGTCGGTGCAAGGTTGATATGGAGGAGATCGTGTGAAGAGGAGTTGAAAGAGTATGGACTAACATGGATGCAGATGAAAAGTACAGCAGCAGAAGACAGAAGCAAGTGGAGACGTGGAGTTGAAGCCCTATGCTCCACTAAGAACCGAAGGGGACAATAATAATAGATAGATAGGTTTGAGTCTTTCTATGGCCAAGACTATCTTGTTAACCCTCACAGTATCCGAACGATAGTGTCAAATCCCATTGTGTTTATCAATTTACATGTATATGTGGACACGCATACATAGGGAGCAGTCATCGGCTCCCCTAGATTAGGGCTACGGAACATATTTCAAAGTGGCTGCAACAACAATTAAAATTACCAGGTACAACTGATCCCGGAAACAGATGTGTGCGATATCATCACCTATAGCGAAGTACATCATAGAGACGGGTCACAAGGTTTACTTCACAGTAATACCTTTAAGCCCAATGTATAAAACAAGGTTGGGTCACATATTTAGATTTGTTGAAGCCTTGGACATAAAAAGATTTAAACCTGTCTTCTGTGTTCAAAAGTTATTTGCGATCACTTTAAACCTGCCTTGTTAATCCAACTTAGAACCATGGTTCACTTTACTTCATAATATTTTCAACCCTTTTCTTTCTTTCCATACCTTTGCGTCATCTCCCTACCCATTATTTCTCACCTCGATCTGCATGCAATCTGACCTGTATGGTAGAAATTCATCCTGTCTTGCCTACTATATAACTGTGTATGGCAAGGACGCGAGTGTGCGATCAGAATGTCCGAAATGTGTTGCGCAAATATGCACATTACACGTTTCATTCAGATGAACACTACGTCTTCTTATTGTGTGTGTTGTCGAAATTCATAAAGGGAACTAATTGCTTTACATTATTTACTCACTTACGGCATTTAGAAAAAAATAATAAAAAATTGAGCGTAGAAATCTGCATTCCTTCACTTCAATTAATTCTTCATCATCGGCTAGCTCTACACTAATATTTGGTTTCTACATCAAAATTTCAGGAATCACGTGGTTATATTAGTTCATCAGTTCTAGATGTGTAGGGGTTGATGGGTGGATTAAGAGGCTAGAAGTCATCAAGACAATTAACTAATGGTGTGGTGAGACCTGTCTGCAAACCAAAATTGTAGACAACAATTTACGTCAGTGCCACGTCCCAAATCGAGGTCATGAGAAAAAAACAATAACAAAGACTAAACCTGAGGAACTCAACAACCAGTCACAGCAGACTTAGCTTGTGCAAACACCATTCACACAGAGATATGGCTTTACTTTCTGAGAAATGGTCACAAGCAGTACAGGATAACCTCCAGCAGGAGAATAAACAATCAGAATATGTTGGTTCTCTGCAGACAACAATATACATAAAAATCTATAAATATCTCTTGATTTTCTCAATAAACAATCTGTTGCCTGGCGCTTGTCTACTGTCGTTACAATAGATCTTCCAATTTTGATCACAAATCGATGTCAGTGAGTAAACCATCAAAAACTAAGGGAGTACTGAACAGCTGTTTCGTCAGTTCGCCTAATTTAGGACTCACTAGCTCACTAACTCATACCAGTCCGTAATCAAACTTCAAACAAATCTATAAGAAGTTCTGTTTTGACTCATTTGATTGCTGATAGTGGTCACTGAGTGGACACAAAAAGGTGTCTTGAAAGCACTTCATCTATCGCATTTCGTCAAACAACCTCTGGAATGGAATTCGAACCCGCCTGCTAAACACACACAGTCGAAGCTATGGGAATTAATTCCAGAGAACAATCCTAGTCCCTTTGCATACAATAAAAGAAGTTTGTTCTACCTTTGTCTCTACCTTGCATGCCTAGGTAAAGTCCAATCAGAAAACCTTCCCATCCTTCCTTATTTTCCACTTCCTTCGTACTTGTATGATACTTATTATTTAAACTCTGATTATCTGTTAACTTTACCTACCTTTAGTATTACGTAACTTTTAGGATTTGACCTAATTTATTTATTTATCGAATTGTCTACGTAATCAAATACTCACTCCTTTACCTCGCTCGCTAAGCCAGAAATAATCCTGGTAAAGAGGAAAGGTTCGGCCAGTTGAGGCTAGCAACCCCACCCTGTAAAAATAAATAAACACTGCTACAGAAACTTCAAGCCACTAGCTTGAAGGTGCCCTATGTTCCACTGGGAACGTGAAGGAAAAATTATATATTTTACAAAAAATATTACCACCTTTGTTATTGTTATCGCCGCCTGCTGCATAAACCTTATTATCACTACAATCCTCGTTATTACAGACACTCAAAACAATTAACACACCGTTATTATTATTATTGTTGTTTGATCCACGAACTCACCATCATTGGTTAAATTTTGTCTTATACATAAATCTACACAAATTAGAGTAAAGCCTGAAGAAGATCTAATTGTTCGCTTATTATTGGTCTTGTTTTAATATTCATTAACAATGGAAATACTTAAAGAGATTTGGAATCCTTACAAACAAATTCTTCAAAATTAATCGATGTTAATAACAAGATATCTGAGTTCTGAAGGAGGGAATTCAAGATAACTTGATTCTTAGGCGTTGGCAACAAGTTATTAAATAGTCAAGAAATTTGTAAAATAGTAATGACGACTACGAAGAATACAATGAGTCATTAGAACTACACATAATACAAACAAACAAGTTAATAGAATTAGCTAGAATTGTAAAGAATAACACAGTTTAAAAAAAATTTAATACATATTATGTATTTTCAAGTATTGGTTCTTGTAGGGATTTTTTTTTGAATGGTTGGAGGATTTCATCATGAGCTGAAATCTGTTGGAGAACCGTTAGAAAACCAGCCAGGGAGTACTGGGCAGCTGTTTCGTCCTAGTTTGGGACTCTTCAGCAGTATGCACCCACCAGGGTTCGATAACATGATCTGGAGCTGGGCACGTACTAATGAAGAGTGAAAAAAGGCTGAAACATCTGTCTAGTACTCCCTGGCTGGTTTTACAATGAATCTCTAACTTATTTCAGCTCACGATGAAATCCTCCAACATGTTATGTATTTGGCCACGACAAAGAATCGGGCAGTACAAATTTCTTTGTACTTTTTGTACAATATACATATACATGTACATATATAATTGCGATTGTACAGCTAAGAAAATGAATTCACCGCTGAAAAGAGACTCTTCACTGATCTACGTGTTTTGTTTTCATTAAATTTCTTTTGAACACAACGCAGATTTGGCTTGTTCAGATGAATTACGATTGCCTCTGTGCTTTGTACGCAAAAGTCGTGGTGGTAGACCATGAAAAAGGTTGGGTGAAATACTATAATAAATAAACTTTAACAAGGCTTCTAAAGTTACTAACATCCATTATTTAATTGTTCTGATGACTTTTAAACTCTTAATTTCACCGACCCACCTTTCCCTTATACCTAAAACCACGTGTTTGGTAAAATTTTGATGTAAAAACCAAATACTACTGTAGGACTAGCCGATGATGAGGAATTAATTGAAGTGAAGAAAGGCATATTTCTTCGCTCAATGCGTTGGCTTCTTCTAGATTACTTACTGATGCAATGGATGGGATCAATATCCGACTGGTTGTAAGATTCCAACTACAGGCCTCCGAAGTATATTAGTTCGGTGTCCAGTGAAATCGGCTGGTGGTCAAGCTAAATATATCACGAATTGGTAGAAGTTAGAATTCATAGGTTGATCATTGAGTCGGGTCCCACTGGCAGGATGACCTACGAGTTTGCCTTGTATCCCATAGGTGTCGAGATCAATCCCTGGTGGCGGGTTCTTATTGCCGATGAGTCCCAAACAGGAACGAAACAACTGTCTAATACATTCCGTGTTGCTGTTTTAATGTTTCTCTAACTGACATCAATCCATGATCAGACTTGAAACTCCTTATATTTATGAGTAAGCAACATGTGACTTGAGGATACACTTATGTAAAGATATCATGCAGTATATATAGCTGTTGATATCAGATGGTTGAAGGCGATCGGCAGGAAGCTTTTCTTCACCTAGATTTCGTGCATGTTGACACCCATCAGTCAGTCAGTCAGTCAGCGAGATGTATCTGTAATCTTTAAGGAATTCATCTCGCTTCTGAGATTCGAATCTAGGTCACACCTGGTGCTGTGCAATCAACGACGTCACTACTGATCTATTGATCGGGATCGCAAGTGACTTCCTGTAGGACTGTAGTGGATCATTTGACTGAATATTAGTTACTATCAAATATCTAATCAAAGTATATATGATTATGTCACTCGCGTATTTTGTATTTCGTCTCACGATAATAAGTAGGTGAATATTGATGGAATATACCAAGATCGTACAACAAGTAACTTGTAGGCAGCTGTATTGTGCAACAGACCTCATAACTACACTAGAAACAGCAGGAATCAAACACGCGCTAACAACCGCCTCTTTTGGAGGAGTAGCTCAGGTGTATTTCTACATTCATACAATGAAATGATGAACTGCAAAATTACCTGTGGACCTTGTATAGTATCAGAGCTGAATGGATCACCAACTTTACGATTTTCTGCCAACTTTTTAAGTCTTTCAATCATTTGGTCATAAATTGGAGCTTGTACAAATATTCGGGTACCAGCGACACAACATTGTCCATGATTAACCATTGTAGCCTCATGGGCAATTTCAGCAGCCTTATCAACTTGAGGTGAAAAAGACAGAGAAAAGAAAATAGTAATAATGATATCAATGATAATATGCTGAAATGAATGTCATTCATGATAATTCTAAGTGAATTCTTGGTTAAGCAAACAAAAAGCCGCATCATCCTGGAGAGAATCAATCAAACACGCTGCCCTGGATGAAAAACCTCGACCGAAACAGGCTGGATTCAGGAGAAACAAGTCACATGCATCGATCGAATCGTAACATTACGTATCATTATTGAACAGAGTATAGAATAACAGTCAGAATAAGAGACAGACGGTGGGTAACGAGAAGATTGGCGTAAAGTGGACCCACACGGTATGAGACTTGGAGGATCTGGACTTCGTCGATGACATATATAAAACAGAAAGGGCTTCAAGTGAACATAAAGAAAACAGAGATAATGAAGATTCCTGGCCAACAGCAACAGCAGCAACAACAACAAGAGGAAACAATCAGAATAAATGGGGGCAATCTGAAAGAAGCAACATCCTTTACCTACCTACCTACTTGGGAAGTCTCATTTCAACTACAAACGGACGGAACTGACGAGGGTATCAAGGCGAGGATCGGCAAAGCAAGGTAAGCTTTCATTATTCTCAAGTCTGTGTGGAGATCAACACTCGGCACTGGGCATGAAAAATAAGATCCGTATTTTCAACTTCAATGTGAAGTCAGTCAGTGCTACTTTACAGACCAGAGACTTGGCGCCGAGTCACGAAGGCCACTTCGAACAAACAACACACCCTCATCAACAGCTGTCTTCGCTTAATACTACTCAACATCAGATGGCTGGCGAGAAAAGATCAGTAACAAGGAGGGGTCTCTAGAAGCGAACCAACCCAGCAGGAAACAATTGTGCAGCAAATATGCGGGAAGAATTGGAGGTGGATTGGCCCTACTCTGAAAAATCAAACCATCATCAAGTGACATCACACGTCAATTCCTCACTAGAGTGGGACCCGAATAGGAAGCGGCGATTTAGTTGGTCGTCACTGTGAGGGTGGGATAACATGGAGGAGAAGGTGATGTGAATAGGAGATGAGAGCATGTGGTCAGACGTGGAGGCAGGTGAAAACTTCGGCGGAGAACCGAACGCAATGGAGACGTGCGGCTGAAGCCCTGTGCTCCTCTAGGAACTAAAGGAAAAAATAATAATGATAATAATAATAGTTAAGCGCAAAGACAAATCAAATATAGCAATTTAATTGAATTTTAGATTTTCCCATCGATTGATTGGACCGAAGTGCTCGGTCTCAGGTTGATACGTCGGCTTCTTGTGCAGATGCTTCGACAATGTCTGGGCATTTAATTAGAATTTAATTTGTGGATAGTAAATAGCAGTAGAATCCAAGATGCGCATTTCATCCTATTTGGGACTCGTCATCTGGGTGTACCTGCATTTCTCAGTGAGTGATGATGTTCCCACCGAGGCTCGAACCCAGTGCCCATAGTTTCAAACGCCCAAGGTTTCAAACGACCACTTGGGCCACGAGAGCCATCTCTTGTGCAACGGGTCATATTCATTATTCATTGTTCCTTGGCTTTCAATAGTTCTTCATCTTACTCTTTTTTCTCTTTTCCTTCTTCTTACATGACTTACTTGCGTCATTCTGACGAAGCCAACTTTGTTAAGTATACCGATGATCTGACTGCTTCTATGTCTGCAGTCACATCTCAGTCGGACTGTTCCAAAATGAATAAATTTTCATCAGAAATAAGTCAGTGATCTTCGTCAAATAGTCTTGAGTTCAATCCTTCCAAATATGTTAGCCAGCTGGTTCATTTCACTTTCAGACAAGCAAGTGCCTCTTACACATGAGCTGATTAGTTCGCATGGTTCCACTATCGCAGATACCACACAAGTTGAAACTAAATCGAATGCGAAATACCTTCGACTGTGTATTTCCTCTAATCGCCTTTCCTGATCTTACCCCCCCCCCCCCAATCGTGTTAGTTTCCAGAAAGATATTTCGTTTGAAGTTCTATGTAAAGAAGTCAAGATGATCTGGTATCACTCTGTCTCCACTGTTACAGTTTGTTAATTCTTGTGTTGTACCTATCCTACTCTATAGTTCCCACCATCTCATCTTTCCTGGGTCACTCAACAAAGACTTTGTTACACTATAAAAAGGGCAGTGAAAGCTTTCAGTAGGGTGGGCGAGTGGGGTTACCGCTTAACCAACTGGTTAACATTGTTGTAGAGAGACACTGAGACTCATGCAAGAGATTAGCGAATATCATAATTGAATAAGACATTTAGAAGATAAATTTCGCGAGACGATAACTTCATTTCGTAGTTTCTTTACAACCGCTTTATACAACTAACATGGTTAACAATGATAATAAAATAAGATGCATGACAATTACTCAGTTAAATAAAAAAACAAAGGTACATGCTAATGACCAATCATATTTAAATAGGTCACGTAGTCAGTCCATGGTAGGCGAGATTAATGGAAGTGCGAAGTGAGACCGAGCACTTCGGTCCAATCAATCGACGGGGAAATCAAAATTCAATCAAATAAATAATTAATATGACCCGTTGCATAAGAGGTGGCTCTCGTGGCCCAAGTGGTCTAGTGGATAACGCTTCGGCGTTTGAAACTATGGGCACTGGGTTCGAGCCTCAGTGGGAACATCATCACTCACTGAGAAATGCAGATACATCCAGGTAGCTGACGAGTCCCAAATAGGACGAAATGTGCATCCTGGATTACACTGCTAACCACCATCCACCAATTGTAAACTTGGAATATAATTCTAAATACAAACACTTGAATGAATGTGGAATATAATTCTGAACACACATATACACACACACAAAACACGAATGAGCAAAAAATTATAATAATGAACTATATATATGAGTACAAATCATAAATGTGTGAATAAAACAATTCCAACAGTGGTGTGAACACGGGCAGTAATTTTGCTCGAAATGTCACCAATAACAAAAATTATCATTGTGTGTAAACTATTGAAATATAATTATACTTTACTTTATTATATCAAAGCTATTATTATTAATATTATTATTATTATTATTATTATTATTATTAATTCGCATCGAAGACCCAAACCTTGCATGATTCAAGAACATGCTTTCAAGAGACTCCCTCCTCCTTTCCTTCAAAAACAAAGACGAAAAACGCCATACATTCAGTTCCCTTGATAAATTTCGATAAAGAAAGGAAGATGAAATTTGCAGTTCTCATCAGCTGCACACCACTACCTGAAATTACAATAGTTATATACATGATGATTATAACATACTTTAATGTTTAAGGGGTAGTAGAGAAAAGGTACTATAAAATTGACGCATTGAAAATGTGAGCAGCATTACAATTTTTAGTTTAAGTTTTCATCATCAATTCGTACTCCTTCAAAGTTGAAAAGAGGACAGGGAGGGGTAAGACAGAAAACAGAGAGAATTAACAAAACTGTGTTAGCTTGTAGCTTGTTCACATGGCTCACACACTCTAAAAAACAAAGGCGGTTACACTTTATGAGATTAAGATTTGTTCAGTGATGAGTTGAAATCACTGAATTAGATGACTAATCAAAATCATAATTCAGTTACCAAGGGAGTGAGAGGTTAGTCACACACTCTTTCTGTATGCATAAGTCTGGTTGATTTAAATCGTTTGACTGTGATCGCTTCGGCAAAGTGTAGTAAATTTGCTGTCCTTTGTCTATTTAATATTTTGAAGGACTTAGAAATCTCTACGAGATATCCCCTATCAACAATATGTCTGGTTATTGTACTCTGAGAATATTTGCTTTCTTTCAGGCACATGTTTCTTGGAATATGTTCAGAAAACCGGATAGACGCCCTTCTTTCTATCCTTCCGCGATGTACAAGCTCCTGCAAATGCACGGTGGTGACATCAGCAGGGTATTTATCCAGTATTGAGTGGATTATAGAAGGAGTGGTGCTGTATACTGTTATGAGTCTTGCTGCCGGGAAGCTTCTATTTCATGCACCTTCCAGTCTTCTTTCAATCTTTTGTGACACTGCATCTCCTTTGAATGGGAGACAAAGATGGATGCTTTTTTTGTCTTATCTTTTCCTCTGCTATACTTCTGTATAAATCCCCTGGGGTATCCATTTTCCCTTAGGCATTTCTTGACGAAATCTAATTTCAGGTAGTGGTGTGCAGCTGATGAGAACCTGCAAAATAGAATGATGATATCATTTTATACTGCAAATTTCGTCTTCCTTTCTTTATCGAATAAAAACACCTTCATGAAGGGTGATCAATGCTCAAGAAAAATGCAATAGGCTCAAATCGACCAAAAGAGGAAAAAAAATCAATAAGGAGGCAGAAAAGGCAACTCACTATCTGCATCAGCAAATATAATTAACGGTGATTTGCCGCCAAGTTCTAGCTTCACATGTTTAATATTTGTAGCTGCTGCTTTCATTATCAATTGACCGACTTCAGTACTTCCTGTGAATGAAATCGCTCTGACATCTGGATGATGAGTCAATGCTTCCCCTGTGGTTTCACCATATCCACAAATAACATTGACTACACCAGGTGGAAAACCTCAAAAAAAATGCGAAGAAAAAGAAATTAAACAAAGAATATTAAAATCATTAATTCCAAGTAAGACATAAAACATGTGTGATTTGTTCAAGTTAACTTTTGGAGTTTTCCCTTTGATGGATTTGATTGACCGATTTGTTCAGCCTCTGTCAGTGGCTCCCAGTAAGGAATCTCCGACGATGCCTGAGGACTAAAATGGAGTAACATAGTGGACGGCGAATAGCAGTAGAATCGAGAGCAAGCACATTTCGTCGCATTTGGGACTCGTCATTCAGATACCTCTGAAGTCTCAAATGAGTGGTGGTGTTGTCACCAAGACTTCAGCGCTGTAACTATTGTTTCAAACGCCAGAGCGTTATCCCCTGATGCTTGATGTTGCACAAGAGGTGGCTCTTGTGAGTAGCGGGTTTGAATTTCAATGGGAGCACCATCATTCATTCAGTGATGATCGTAGGTATATATATATATATATGTTCACCTGATGAGTTATTTATAAAAACGGTCAACAGCGCTTATCGAAATACTCTGAGGCGATAGTTATTCGTAAACTTAAGCCACTTCACCACCTGTGTGGACAAAAATAATTTGTTATTACTCTTAACCTTCCTCGGTAATCTCCATCTGATTAGATAACCAAATGTATTTTTTGATTCGACACTAGTCAGTAACTAGTGTGTTTGTCTAATCCTATCTTCGGTGCAGACTGAATTCTATCAGTTAAGCTTGCAATGTGGTGGCCACCATGCCAGTAGGTGGCTCGCCATCAATGTGTACTGCACTTTGAATTGTTGATATTAGATAGTTGAAGGGAATCAACAGGTAGCCTTCTACATAGATCTCGTGCTAGTTGACATTCCTCAGCAAACCTGACTGATAGAATTCAGTCTGCGCCAAAGAAAGTACCACACACACATACGCATTACACTAGTTACTGATTAGTGTATCCAATCGAAAATATCCAATACAGTCCTACCGTAGGAGGCCAATCGTGAGCCAGCCTGAATAGCTCAGTCGTGGTAACGTCTCTGACTGCAGAACCCATTGGATGACGCGGGTTCCAATCTCAGAAGGAAGGGATATGAGTTCCTTCGAGGTTGCAGATACGCCTTGCTGATATGAGTGCCAATCAGCACGAAACCTAGGTCAGGCACGGCTTCCTGGGGCCGATCGCCTCCAACCATCTACAACAAAACGTAGTGTTAATTACTCTTACTATTCTAAAATCCTTTGAATGGCTTTGTGTATTTTAATTGCCCTTTATTTTTCATATAGATTGACTTGACAAGCAAATGTGTCAGGGATCAGGTTGTTCGAAATGTATTGTACAAATATATATCACACATTTTCAGATAATCTCCGTCTTCCATTAACATTATTCCAATTTATAAAAGGGACTAGAAGTTTTACAAATGACACCGCCTTTTAGAAATCCCTCCTAAGTCAACTGACAGTATGCATTTGGAGATGACATACAAAGACTAATACTCGCCAGCGATGACATTCGCTAGTGGTTGCAGCATATCGTGAACTGGAGGAAGCTGGAATTCATAAACTGGCGATTTGATCGGATCCTAGTGGCTCAATGGTCTACAAGCCCACCTTGTAACCAGGAAGTCCTGCATTCGTACTGTTGAAGAGTCCCAATCTAGGACGAAACAGTTATTCAGTACCCTCTAGTTGTTTTCCAATAGTTGTCTAACCGATCTCAGTTCATGATGAAAACCTGTAACCGATCAAATCAAATCCCTGAAGACGTAACACTAGCCTGTGAATTCGACTAATTCATCGGCAAATAAGAATGGTATACACCATGTTGTCTCATCACTACTACATCAGCTAACTCGTGTTCATGATCACTATAACTCCTTGACATTCACTGAATAAAGCAAAAACGATATGGTTCATGTAATTGAATTTTTCAAAACTCTCAATGTGATCGTATGACCTAATATCCCTCACGTCATATAGTACACGTACACCACGATAATATGTACACACATGCTTATGCCTAATGAATAAAACTACAGTATTAAAAAAACGAGTTACACTGACCTCAAAAATACATAATGAATGGAAAAGTTATTTTCATAATTCATTATAACTATATAATAATATAAACGAATTAAGTTATATTAAATAAAAACAGTTCATTTTTGACCCGAGATGACCGAATGGCCCTGGATATCGAAAATCACTGTCTTATTAAATGATACGATAGATTCTGGCGTTAAAGTGTCAGAGAACTATACACACCGAAAAATACACACTCAACACCTTGCACTAAACATTATCCAAAGATAGTGTTTATTTGATTTTGATTTGATTTTTGATTACAGCTTGACTCCACACCGTATTTTTGGTACAAGTGTGGAATTTTCAGCGTGGATATCGGCAGCTCAAATTTCGCAGGCCGACTATAGTTATCAGGTGTGCGCCGGCGTGGGCTCGAACCCCGGACCATGCGCATGGTCGGCGAGAGTCCTAACCACTGTGCCACCGACGCACAGTGGGGAGTTACATCAACCAGGCCGACGGGTTTATCGCTGACGAGATCTCAGCACGAAGACAGAAAGGTCATCTGGCATTGTCCTGCCAACTTACGCCATCTCTGGCTCAGTAGACGTTATATCCGGCTGACTGGCTGGCTGCCGACCAAATGAAGTGTGTACCACACGACACCAGTCCACTCTGTCTTCTTTTATGACTGGCTGTGAGTGAGACATGGTCATTGAAAAGGGGAAAACATGAAAAGCCTGGCTATCTGGCTGTCTTAGATCAAAGATGTCTGGCTTCTATCTATCTCCCATGTTAGGTGGTATAATATAGTAGGATGAGTAATATTGAGGTTAGGCATCCATCGAGTACTAGTTAGGTGAGGAGGGAAAATCAATCGATGAGGTTATGAATCAGCTGCATCGATTCAGATGATTGGGACATATGTTATATACGACAAGCCATCACCTTCCTCGACAATGGACAATCTTAGCTGACTGACGTAGGATTGATCAGGTTAGAAAAGAGACAGCTAGTGGTGATCAAACCAAAACATGGCTTCATCGCTCCATGAAATCTTTAACAATTACTCTGGGCCAAGTAGGGAGGTGTAGACTACCTGGCCTCCGGACTGGTTGGGTTCCTCGAATGGTAAAACCAATGGCTGGACACAATCGGTCACATGGCTGGGTCGAAATCCTCGTTCTCAATGGCTGGCCTGACGCAGATGCATTCCTTATTTGTGATTTGTCAGTCATATTGGATAAAGGTGTATTGTTCTTCTATATTAATATTCTTTTTCCCTCAGTCACACTTCTGTTAATTATCTCCCTTTACTCTCTCTCTCTCTTCTCTTGCTTTGTGTGCTACATGGAGTGGAGTGTGGCAAATCAAAGTGGTCAACATCTGTGCAAAGTTGTTGTATGTTGAAACCAGTCAGTCTATCCAAAGAAAAAATCTAAACATACAATAACCTGGTGTCTTTGCTCTCTCTCTCTTTCATGTGATTACACAATCTTTGGATTTAACTTCACTCCTGCCTCTCATTTCTATGATTTGAGTTAAGCTTGTCTAATTAACCTCTTGTCTTCATCACGTAACTATTTCGCTATTGTATCTAAGGCTTCATTTCCGTGTTTAAACTTAAACTTCCTGTATATGAGGTATATAAATGTCATTTCAGAGTACTATTTATTAAATCTAAAGTCTCCGGTCAACTGATATTATGTAATGTTTGCAACTATATTAAAATTCTTTGTAAGATTTCAATCATGAGCCGACACCGGTTAGAGAACCATTGGAAAACCAACTGTTTCGTCCTAGTTTGGGACTCTTCATCAGTACGCACCCACTAGAAGGTCCTGGGTCGAACTCTGCAGTGTGGGTGCGTGTTGCTGAAGAATCTCAAACTAGGACCAATCAGCTGTCCAGTACTCAACGGTGGTTTTCCATTGGTTCTCTAACTGATATCACAGCTCATAATGAAATCCTTCAACTAGTCAAACAAAATCTATACAAAACCAACACTTGAAAATATGAATAAGGCATTTAGAAGACAAATTTCACGAGATGATATCATCATTTCGTTGTTTCTTTACAACCGCTCTACAGCTAACTAACATAGTTAACAATAATAAAATAAAGTTCATTACTCAGTTACGCAAAAAACAAAAATACATACTAATGAGAAGCCATGTTTAAATAGGTCATGTAGTCTATGGTAGGCGAAGATTGAAGTCTATTGTTTTTTGTACACACAGTTCAGGCTGTATGTGATTAATTCCCCAAAGTGCTTCCATCACCTTTAATAACCAACCTTGAATTACAGTTATGTGATGAAATAATTGTGAAACAGTCATTAACTAATATTGATTTTGTGACGTGACATTAATAAGTCTTTTGCAATGGATGATGATGATGGATTTCTATTCAGATTAATAATTGCATTGAGATTTTCTATGTTTTAATAACCGTTTCGGAACATGTTCTTTTCGACGACCACATTGGAACCATTCTATTGGTTCTACCTATATAGATATGTGTGTGTGTGTCACCGCAACTGCAGGTGAACTTGTAGATACAGTTTGAAGTAGAGTCCAGAGAATTTCATCCTTTAAATCGTAGGTACAGGAATCAGAAATGTTCGGCATATGAGAAAAAGAGATACGGTGGCTTAGAATGTGCGTTTGATGGCCGACCGAAGTCTTTGAGCTAGCTGTCAACTGCATAATCTGGTCATCCTTGAGTGGTAGGTTAATGCCACAGTCTACATGAGTGGTCATTAGTATGTACTTTTGTTTTTGATATAACTGAGCAATTGTCATGATCTTTATTTTATTATTGTTAACCACGTTAGTTGTAAAAGCGGTTGTAAAGGAACTACGAAATGACATCATCTCGCGACATTTGCCTTCTAAATGCTTTATTCAAATTTATCAAGGGACTAATTGCTCTAACTTGAAAATGTTATAATTTTCCCATATATAAACTTAATAATAATATCCTTAGTCTGTAAGCAGCTGATGAGAAGTCAACGAAATAAACAGTGATGGTGCCATCTTCCTATTCTGCACAAACCACTAATGTTCTTCCTTTATTAAAATTCACAAAGGCGAATAAATGTTTGAAATAACAGACACCCACCCTTATATGTACAACACAAAAATAAGAAAAATACCCAGTCCCAAGTAGGATTTCATTACGAATGAACATGAGGTAGAGAGTAATTGAAAAAAACCAGGGACTATACTGTACAACAGTTTCGTACTGGCCTGGAACTCTTCAGTAACACCACTATACTGAGCACAACCAATAGCTGCTGCTGTGACATGATGGTCAGACTTGCATATCACGATCACTGTCAACCATCTACCATGCCACAAAAGACATTCAGGTAGCAGTTAGACTAAAAGCCCTTGGCATCATAGTCTATGTAAAAGCTGAAGTCCTATGTTCAACTTAAAACCTACGGGAATAAATAATATATGGTCTATCGCCTTGTTTTTACTCATATAACTAATAGTGTTCATTCAAACTGGAATATTTAAGGGTATAGCAACTACAGGAGGAACGGACGAGGATGTCATATCGAGTGAGAATCGGGAAGGCGAGAAACACATTCATTCATCAACCTGAAACCAATCTGGAAATCTTCGTCACTCAGCCAGCATCAACAACAAAATTCGGTCGGATTTTCAATACAAACGTCAAGTCAGTCATCTCTTCTATACAGATCAGAAACTTGGCGGAAGGGCGGGTCACAAAGAATATTTCCAACAGCCTGTTGCAGACATTTATCAACAACTGTCTTCGCTGGATCTATACTGAAGACCAGATGGCGGGGCCGGAAAGAATCACCAACAAGAAACTATGGGAAGGAACAAACAAAACAAGAACAAACCAATCGCCAACCAACAAATATGCAAGAGATTGAGTGGAGATGGATTGGACACTCGCTGAGTGAGGAGACCACTGGTGACATGGCGCGCGCGCCAGGCCATTGCTCGAGAGGAACCCGACAGAATGGGAAACGGCGAGTGGGACGTCAGTGCAAGGGTGACATGCAGGAAATCGTGTGAAAAGAGGATTCGAAATAGTATGGATTAACATGGATGCAGGTGAAAAGTACAGCAGAAGATAGAAGCAAGTGGAGACGTGCAGTTGAAGCCCTATGTTCCACTAGGAACCAAAGGGAACAGTAATAATAATAATAATAATCGTAAGGGTATAGCACGTATTATAATCCATTCAGGTGAGCCAATTCAAATTATAGAAAAAGTAATCACATATACGTGTGTGTATGTGTATGTGAAATGCTTACCTGCTTCTTTAGTTAATGCAGCTAAATACAACGCCGATAATGGTGTTTGTTCTGCTGGTTTCAGCACAACTGTACATCCAGCACTAAGACATGGAGTAATTTTAATCACGCACAGAGCGAATGGATAATTCCATGGGGTTATACATGCAACAACACCAAGTGGTTCACGACGAGTAAATGTGATCATATTCCCATCAACTGGTAATTGTTTCCCGTGTATTTTATCCGCATATCCAGCATAATAACGAGCAATTTGTGCAGAGAATAGAACATCATCTAGGGCAGATTCGACTGCCTTTCCATTATCCAATGCATCTAAACGCTAAACAGGACAATGAAACAAATAATAATAATAATAGAGGATTTTGAAATAACAGAGAAGATTTGTAGCTCAGGTGAATGATTTCCAATTAGTTGTGTGTTCTCTGTGGAGCTGGTTGGTTCAACTGAGAAGCTTTCGTCGTCCTTCTGGACAACATCCTCATTCAGCGGAAGTTTTAGCACAAAGTGAACGGATTTAAATTCACCATGAGTGATAGAATTACGTCTCCTCGTCACCATCTTTGTGAATGGTAGTCGATTTACATCTGTATTGATGGGTTTTTTTATTGAATTGGACGCGGGTGTCCCCTTCGAATCAGAATCGAGGAACACAAATTAGCAATGGAAAGACATGATCAAATTCCCGATTGTCTACATCTTCTTTTGGAGAGAATAACAAATTTATGAAAAATTACATTATATTTGTAAAAATCTCAATGATTTTGCAAGTATCCGGTCAAATCTTGATCACAGGTCATATGAGAATACCAAATGTTTTATGACTGTTCACCCACCCACCCACACACACATACACCATTATATACTGCATATACACATATATATTTTAACAAAACCTGGTCGATACTGGACACCGCATCGATGTCAACACACAGATTTCAGGGTTATATACCGAATTCCGAAGTCGTTATCACGTACAGTTTGCTTACGTCTCCTGCACAAATGGCTGAAGCTGTTGCAATAAGATCGACTAAACTGAAACTTTGTATCCCAAAAGAACACGTCCAGACGCTGTTCCTACCGTGGCCAACCTTGGATTGAGATTTTCTTCTCACCAAGAGTGCTCCTTCCTTAACCTTTTTCTTTCTTTGCTTTTTAATATTATTATTACATTTATTATTGTCATAATTTATGCCTTATGCAAACTTCCCTCAATATATCGGACTTATATAGTGATATTATCTTTTTCTCAATATATCCTCCACCTGTTTCATTTACAATTCGTTATCTCATTATGAACCTCATTCATCTTACTATCTCCTGTTTAACCAGACCACTTTGTACTAGCCACTCACCTGACACCTTATAACAACTGATGTCAATTTTCCTACACACTCACAATCATTATGATTAATACCACCATTGTCTCCTTTCAATATTTTAATCGATTTGTTCAGATCCCAGTGGGTGGGTGCGTGCTGCCTATCATTCTGGTTTTAAATGGTTCTCTAATTGATATCAATCCGTAGTCAAACTAGAAAAATAAAAGATTTGTTAAAATCAACGTTGAATCATACTAAGTTATAACGATACTCCTAGTTGTGGTGGACTGGATCATGAGACAGACCGTGAGGAGTGTGTGGAAAGGAGAGGATAGAGTGGACCGACAAAAAGATCCTAGAAGATCTGGACCTTGTAGATGGTTGACACCTTGTGTGTCTCAAAAAAAAACTTACAACCTCGACATCAGAGTTTTCTTCAAAACATCAGGCACACACACTGCAAAGCAACCCTGTCCATGTAGCAGACCAAATCCCTTAAGATTCTCTATCTAATTGTGTCTATAAAATAAAATTCTTGCATGGCATGTGATACAACATATATCGTCCAAAACATCGCCGGAGAGAAATCAAAATCAGAAGAAATGAACACCGTAGAGCATCTGTTCGACTGACCACAGAGAAATCCAGTTGAACTAGAAAGGCTTGAAAAACCATCAACACGCTATATGAAACAGGCCACAAAATTGATTCTGACAATATTGAAATAACCAAGAAAAATATCAGAAATCATAAGGGAACTTCTAATACCGTCAGAAGCACTTCATATCATCAAGTGGAATCCCAATTGTCTGAACTGAATAGGAATGATTGACTAAAACAGGATTTGGCTTGGTCACAACACCACCCTCCCCATTAGGTAAACACACGCTGCTTTTATAATTCTACACACTAATCAAATCCAACAATTTACACTTGGCTTTGTTATCTTTACCAGTTGGCCAACTTGACAACAACGCAAAAATGCCCCCCATGCTGAAGAACGATGATTAATTTGTGTCTATATAAGCTGAGTGGATTTTGTAAATTCTGGTTTAATAATACTACTTTGATAAAGCTACTAGCAGCAGCATGAAATAGCGAAACGTCAGTAAAAACAACAATATCGTTTTGTTTTTCACTCATTCACTGGGAAATACAAACAGAGCTTTGATTATAATGAATATCATATACCCAATGGCCAAATTTCTTAAAACTGTTAAAAGTGAACTTGGTTTGGATATATATAACGAAAGCCAACAAGTTAGAAGAAGAAGAAGTAGCGAAGACTAGAATTCAGGTGAATATTAAGAAGACGGCAGTGATGGAAATCAACATAATCAACAAAAAGTACCAATCTTCACCAAGAGGAGAAATCCATCGTTTCAACTAAAGGGAGGATTGGAAAAGCAAGACACACCTTCACAGTAATCTGGAATCAGTGTGTGGAAATCTACATCACTCAGTTGAAAGACAACCTCGCCTAATTCAATAGTTCGCTAGCTTTCTAGCTAGTCCTCAGCCCTGGAAAAGAGCGAGAGCTGAGTGTGTGGGACCAGGGACCCAACTCAAGAAAATCAATAAAATCGCCTCAGGAAATTCAAGGCACATGAAAAACATTTCGAAAAAAACAAACCTATTCTTCGCTAGAATTGGGGAGACGAAATAATGAGGGCTGGTGAAAGCCTTTAGGAACCCAGTCAGCCGATGTGTCTTCTTGCGATAAAAGCAAGAATAAAAACATAGGGAGTGGAATTCCCGTACAACGTACAAAGCTGGAATGGCTACTCAGGTTGACAAAGAGGTGAAAAGATACCGCACAGAAGTGCTAGGAATCAATCTGTGAAAGCAGGTGAAGTGGATGTGGACAGTTCAAATTGTCAACTGGATTAAAGCCGTATGTTCCACTCAGAACACAAGGGAATAGAATAATACTTAATAATAATACACCTGAAAGACAAAGATCCGAATTTTCAAAACTGATATCAAGTTAGTGCTTCTATATTCCTTCAGACACTTGGCGCGTACTTCACGAAAAGCATTTCTAACAGGTTACTATGGATTTTCGTCATCACCTGCTTTTACTCAATTCTGAAGATTAAATGGACGGCTGGAAAAGATTAGTGAAAAAAGCTCTATCAGGTAAAGAACTAACCAAGGACCTGTTGCCCGACAAACGTGTACAAGGAAATGGACATTGTTTGGACACATGTACTGAAGAGACCTCCATATTGAGTTGGGCCTCTAAGTGTCACATGGAGGGGATCATGGTGACAGATAAAAAAGACTGGCATAGAACAGAATACAATCGAGACGTCCTAGTGAAGCCCTATGCTCCGTTCAGACCCCAGAGAACGAATAGTATTGAAGATGAAAGATGAAATGTTAGCCCCCCCCCCCCTCGGAAATGGTCCTATAAAACCTTAATTGAATATTTGAGCAAAAAAATACCTTAGTACAGAGAGACGAAGTCAATTCACCACCTGCCGAATCGTATCATCTTTGCCACGAGAGAGATATCTAGCCACCCGTTAAAGAGCATTAATCTGCAGAAGTCTTCCTACCATTGTCGATGCCAAGAAGAAGTGGATAAAGGAAGAGTGGAACCATCCCTAGATGATTAATATTAGCTGAAAAAAGATCCAGTTGAGAGGAAAAAGTAAGCATTCGTAAGTGTTCTGTCGATGGAATTCGATTGATTTCAACTCAGATTTAGTCATTAACTGACAAAACGTTACTGCACAATAGTGAGTGATTATGGAACAGATTTCATTGCCTGGTATAAAAGGCCAAAATAAAATTCATTTGGTACACAGAACACTGGTACGTCAATGGTTTGCCAATCAGACACGTGGTCTTTAGTTCGATTCCGACAAATAAGCTTCTAAACTATCAAGTGTCGGTGTGCAGGGATTTGGTTGGTTACAGGATCGATCATGAGCTGAAAACAGTTAGAGAACCACTGGAAAATTACCAGGGAGTACTGGATGGCTCTTTCGTACTACCATGAGACTCATCAGCACACACACACACTGGGGTTTGAATACATGACGTTATGGTTAAGAGACCAGAGCCCATAGACCATTCCAACCCCTGTGGAGTGCGTACTGTGAAGAGGTCCAAACTGGGGCGGAACAGCCATACAGTAATCCCAGATTTTCCAATGGTTCTCTAACTGATGTCAGCCTCACGCCCACTCCTAATCGATAGTAGGCGTGAAGCTGGAAACTCCACTTCATAACAAAACACTCCTACTCAGAATTCAAAGTCGAACGTTTGGACCTCAACGTCCCATAAGGAACACAAACGAATGCACAAAACTGGTGCATACGTTTGTTGAACACCACCTGGTACACGAGGTTAATACCTTACCAAGCAAGGCTGACGATACAATTCAACAGTGTGAAAGGCAGAAACGCAGAGATTGATGTTTCCACTCCTTATTTTTAAACCAAAGAAATAATATTTCTTTTCACAGATAACTTACAGATATATAGTCGGCATTTTTCTCAATCAGATCTGCCAACTTATAGAGTAGAAGACCACGTTGTGAAGCATCCATTGTACGCCAAGCGGAGCCTAATTTAAACGCTTTCTTAGCACTTTCTACTGCCTTGTAAACATCATTTTTATCAGCTTCTTGAACATGACATATCACTTGTTCATTGGTTGGATTTATGGTTGGAAATGTTTTCTTCGACAGACTGTCAACAAATTCATTATTGATAAATAACTACGGAGAAGAAACGAAAAGAAAAGAAAAACACAGAGAATCACTTTAAGGCACGAAAACAATTTGAATGACTTTAAGGCTTTACTACTAAACAATATTGTGAAAACGTTTCTATCCACCCCTCCCACTCCACCCCCGACCGGCCGACCAATGCGTGAAAGAACAAAATGTCAGTGCTTTTACTAACGTCTAACTGTTTAATGCTAACAGTTTTATCAAAGTTGTTATAGTTATTTCCTTGGGTTCTGAGTGGAACACAGAACTTCAACAACAACAAGCATATCTCAATTTCGTCCAGTTCTCTGAAGTCATTTCTCAGACAGCTTCACGGTGTCAAACACAAGCTTTCATTTCCTCCTCATACTATATCTCCTTTATGTCACCATCGTAGTCAACTCAGATTCGTCGCTTCCCACTCGATGGCTTGCCTAGCGCGTGGTCTCCCTCAACAATCTCCTCAGTGAGTGTCTAATTCATCCCCATACTTGTTGGGTGACAGCTTCCAGGTTTGTTTGTTTGTTGGTTGGTTTGCAGAGTTTCGTGTTGCTAATTCTTTGTAGCCAGTCATCTTATCCTCAGTATGGAGTCAACGAATGCAGCTGTTGACAAAAGTCTCCTGTCTGTCTGTCTGTCTTCGACATAGAACATTGCACAGACGTGCGCCAGTTCAAGTCGCCACACTCCCTCCTTGTAGCACACAAAGAAAGAGAAGAAAGTAAAAGAAATGCATAACAGAGACAGTAAACACAGGTGTGAGACAAAGGAATAGTAATAGCAAAGAACAAACCAGTTTCATTTGAAATCATAAGTCACAAGGAGTGGATGCATCTGCTCTAGCCATTGAGAACGATTTTGAGCTACATCACCAATCGTCTCCAGCCTTGATTGGCTTTTACCGTCCTGAGAACTCCAACCCGGAAGACTACACCTCCCTACGTGGCCAGCTTCAACTAACTATTGTGATGCCATGTTTTGGTTTGACCACCGCTAGCTCCTTTTCCAGTCTGACCCAATGTCAGCTAACACTGCCCGTCAAGGTAGGTAATGACTAGGCATACATAATGCATGTCGTAGCTTCACAGCCTTGTCGATTGATTTCCCCTCCTTACCTAGCACTCTACCGATGCCTAACCTCAATATTGCTCACCCTATTATACCACTTCACACGGGAAATAGAACGCAGGCACCTATGATCAAAGACAGCTAGACGGTCTTTTCATGTCTTCCACTCTCAATGATCATGCCTTACAGCCATAAAGGACGGATTGGACTGATGAGCAGTACACACGCCCTTTGGTCGACAGCCAGCCGGATATCACATCTACGCCAGAGATGACGTAAACTCACATATGCGAAATGAACCTTCTGTATCTGTGTTGCGATCTCGTCAGCGAACAACCGGCTGGCGCTGGCTGATGCAACTTCCCAAATAAGTGAAGTGGTCGAGACGCCCCACCAACCACTTCACTCCCTATTTCTAAGCTAGGAGTCAGTGTAGTCCAGCCAGTCATCTTATATTTGATAGTGCTTGCTGAACAGCTAAACTGAAGTGATCTTAAAACCTGACGGCCGTTTCGGCCGGCAGGCACCTATGATCGAAGACAGTTAATCTTTTTATGTCTTCCCCCCTCAATGGCCGTCTCACAGTCATAAAGGAGGACGGAGCGGATTGGTCGATAGCTGGATATCACGTCTACGCCAGAGACGGCATAAACTGGCACATCCGAAACTAGCCCTCTGTATCCGTACATAACTAGCACATAAAAGAAGCACTTCATTCAATTAAAATAGGGAAGGTATTCATACGAAATCATTGTTTCAAATATAACTATACCAAGCTTTCTATTAGTCCAAATGTATACTAAACCAAACTTCTAATACCACTCAATAATTCTACTAAGTGCCTAGCAAGCTTAAAATTCGGAGGCCTGGATATAATGAGTACTTAGAGACACTCCTCGAATAAACCACTAATTCTTGTTAGCCAGATGGGAATGGTCGAAGTATCAGACACGACTTCCACTTGTCTCGAACCAGTTTCATCAGTCATAAGACACTTACACTCAGATGTCCAGAATTCAACTTATTCTGACTGAACTTTAACCCAGCTGGCCACCAACTAATCCAGTCCCAGACGAAAGAAACATTTGTCTGGCGATTAAATCACTTCAACCTATCCAACACATATCATTGGTTGACATGAACCGCTTCCAAACAATATACAACATCAGGCCATTTTCCCTTCTATCAATTCGAATAAGAAATAATGACTAAAGTCTCGCAATAATGAATTACATTTCTTAAATATGAACTTTGGAAAATAAATAGAGTACACTCAAAAAGTTCAAGGTTTATTAAGGATTCTAGCATATTTCCCAAGGGTAGGGCCACTAGTTCCACACTCAGTATACCCTCTTTTCCCAGGCTAGTAAACTAATCAGCATGGATGGCAGTATTAAAGCCATGCAGGATAGGGAAATCAAGACAGACCATGAATCTGAAGTTCGTGTGGAAGTGTGTTGCGCTCAGCATAAAAAAAACAAAATCCTTATCTTCAGTACTCATGTCAAATCAGTCAGTGCTTCAAGTATGGTTTAGGAACTCGACCCATCTCCAACAGGCTACTGTAGACTTCGGTCAACAGTTGTCTTCACTGGCTTCATACTGAAGGTTAGATAGTCAACAAGAATGGATAAGAAACTAGGAACTATGGTAGTCAGAGAACCATGCTGACAAGACGGTTGAGTGATAATATCACGTGCCAGGCAAGCCGTCGAGTTAAACCCGAATGGAAAAAGACGGGTTGGGCGTGAATCCAAGGGTGACATGAAGATGATCGTCTGAGGAGAAAATAAAATCTTATCGACAATTGTGAAACCGGTTGAAATAGACTTATGAGAACAGAGAACACTCGTATTCCAAGGGAATAATAAATAATAACAATGGTCATCAAAAGAACGACGCTAAATGAATGTAATTTTTGCCTATAGGAATTTAGATCGTGGAAAATACCCATAAGGACACTAGAGAGAAAAGAACACGAAGTTCAGCAAATATATCTGTCATCTTTACGGCGATTTCATTTTCAAAAGCAGCTGTACAATCGCATTCAAATACATAATTTTATGTAGATACAAGTGTTTTATACTTGATTTCACATAACTACGAAGGCGAATAAAAAGGTGACAATTATTTTCGACTAGATGTGGTTTACGAGAGGCTTAGATACAAAATTACACAGGATTAGAACGAATTGCAAGTGTGTAGAAAATGAGCATGGAAACAAACTTGCAAGTTGAAAATTACTATTTCAATTTGTAATTTTGTATCTAAGCCTCTCGTAAACCATATCTAGTTGAAAATAATTGTCACATTTTATTCGCCTTCGTAATTGTGTGGAATCAAGTAAAAATTGTATCTGTGTAAAATTATGTATTTAAATGTGATTGTACAGCTGCTTTTGAAAATGAAATCTCCAAAAAGGCAGATATCTTTGCTGAACTTCGTGTTCTCTTCTATAGGAATTTACACTGCGAAAATTCCCATATTTAAAAAAACCCAAAATTTTAACTTTGCAAACAACTTACTTGAGTATATTTAACTTCAGGTAATTGGTAAGTTGTAACCATCTTGCCAACACTAGATACGAGAAAATGTCGTAAATTATTATTATTATTATTATTGTATCCTTTAGTTCCTAGAGGAACTAAAGGATTAGGTCTGATTATAAACACTATGCGTGAATTGTACAGACATACCAGACTAAAAAATTGTTTAAGGTGATTAGTCGAATAGTCAAATTTAATTGGTTGAATTAAAGGTTAAAAAATAACATGATATTTCTCATCTTAAATTTGATTGGATAACACTTACTAAGCGACTGACCATTTAACAAAGCTCATACATATGTGGTGATATCTATCGATCGCTTCTGCTAATGACCGTTAACACGCTTACATGCATATGGACATATGGCCATGAATCAAACCAGGCACAACGAAGCAGTGAAAGCCTTTCTGAGACACATGCAAATGAAACTTAAAATTATACAAAGCCACATATGAAAATAGGTCAGGTTGAACACAAGAATAAATTATACCAACTGGTAACAAAAAAGAAAATATGCATCTGATGAAAAGAAAATGTTTTATGGTGAAAACATTCACACAAAACAACAGATAACAAAATCATTCAACATTTGTAGCCATAAGATCTTTTTGATGCCAATATAAGCAGCAGTCGAGAAAGCAAGCATAAATGCATAAAACTACACGCTACCGATTATTTGAGATGAGTGGCTGTATACTACTCATATCAATCAGTAGTTTGTATGTACGGTGTCTGAAATGTGAATCACAAGCTTGTTCATGCAGCTAGGCAGAAATCGGGCGACTTCATATGATACAGCTATTTAAACTGAATCTAACAGAGCTTACCCGTGCCTAGTCCAATTCCAGACTAATTGAACAGCTGTCAAACAACTAGATCGCTTCAGCCTGCCTGACTGACAAGCACCACTGGTTGAGGCGAGCAGTATACTACTGCAATTTATGGTGCCAACGAGATCACATACTGTGATCTGAATAGTCCCGGTTTCCAAAGGAAATCGGAAGTGAAATTCCACCTCTGTATGAATGCCGTATTGGAAAGAGACATCAGGGACCCTTCATAGAATTCCTACTGAGACTGAAATTAGGGTGGTACTTAAAGTAACCGTCTCACTCAGTGACACACTCTTTCAGCTTATTGATCCGACAGAGGGGATGAAGAAAAAAATATAGTTTACTACATACCATGCAATGACTGTGAGATGAATTGCATCGATCAAACTGACACACGTACAACGCACATAAATTCCAACCCAAAAAACTTTTTTCTCTACCCCCGTCCTCGAGGTGATCATTCATCCATCTGAAGTTTGTAAACAATTTGCTTATACGAGTTTCACAACGGATTGATATCAGTTGGAGAATCATTGAAAACCAGCACGGAATACTGAACAGCCAGCTGTTTCATGCTAGTTTAAGAATGATAGGAAGTACGCACCCACCACCATGGTTCGAACCCAGGAGCTTCCGGTTACAAAGCCAGCTAGCTCGTGTCCCATTCAGCCACTGGGATCCGATTCAATGTCCCATGAATTCTGAAGCTCCCTACTGACTTGCTACACGACGGAGTTTCCTGAAGTTCTAGTGAGAAGTCATAACCAGTGAAGTCCGTCTAGTCAAGTGTGAGGGTGGATGTCCAACCGATGCGTCACGAATCAGTAGAAGTTGGAATTCATGAGCTGGCCATCGAATCAGGGCGGATCCCATTGGCTGAATGGTCTACGAGCTCGCTGGCCTTGTAACCGGAAGGTCCTACGTTCTGACTTCCCAAACCAATATGAAACAGCTGGCTGTCAAGTATTTCGTGATGGTTTTCAATGATTCTCTAACTGATATCAATCCGTGGTCAAAGTCGTATGAACAAATCTAATCCTTACAAATCATTCTCTTGAAAGAAACACTATGCTGTCAACATTTCTCTCAACAATACTAAAACCAAAAAGAGACAACTCAAAAGCTAGCTAGAATAGGAGATTCGTTTGAATTAGTGAGACGACTAAAAACCACTCAAATAGACGAAGAGGAAATACTAGTCAGCTTTGATGTAAACAGTCTCTATACTAAAATACCCTTTCATCAAATGGCCATGAATATACTTAAAACGAGACTAAAAGAAGATGATGGCCTAAAAGACAAAACACAATTATCCGTAGAAGAGATAATAAAAAAAGGGGGTGGAATTCTGTCTGACAACAGCATAATTTACATTTGAAGGAAAAATATATCAACAAAATGAAGTAGGAGTAGCCATGGGATCCACCATCTCACCAATAATAGCTGATATATTGATATGTATCCATATATATATATATATATATATATATATATTGTGGTGATTGACAATTTCTATCTCTGTATTGTTTAAATACTTACTGTTGACTGTTGATATGTTTCTTATATGAATTGCATTCTAATTCCGCTAAATACAAATTACTGATTGCTGCCCTCTCTGGGTTTTGATTAGATTCCTATAATTCCGTCATCCCGGTATATTAATATTTCAAGTACAATAAATTACTACAAATTGGCGTCGCGATGGAGCTAAGTAACCTGGGAAAATTTCCTCTTAATGGTTCTCCGCGAGAGATTGCTGATTATTTGGAATGCTTTGATGCGTGGTGCATTTCCAAGAATGTTCGGGATGATAAAATACCTGCTCATTTCATCACCGCTATTGGTCTTGATGCATATAGCCTGGTGAAGAATCTGGCGTTTCCAGATAAACCCATTTCTATGCCATATGCTAAGCTCCGTGAACTTCTTATAGATCACTTCCATGTAACTACTTTTGAGACCAGAGAGAGGGCTCAGTTCAACAAACTGGTACGTTCTCCCAATCAGAAGATAAGAGACTTTATACTACAACTCCAAATTCAAGCCTCAAAGTGTAATTTTGGAGATCAGCTGCATACACAACTACGTGATCGTCTAATTGCTGGAATCAACATTCCTAAATTAGAGAAAGAGTTAATTCAGATTCCTTCTTGTACGTTTCAAACTGCTAAAGATGTATGCATTACATATGAAGATGTCAATAATGAATACTCTGCTCCCACTACGTCAGTGTCTGATGTTATGCTTTCTAAAGTCGAAAATACAAGTGTTCATGGAAAGCAATCCAAACTGCCGTCCACAGGTAATAGAATGCAGCGAGAGATCAAAAACATTAAACCGTGTTTATCCTGTGGAAAGTTACATCTACGAAGCACTTGCCGTTTTCGGAGTGCTAAGTGCTATAAATGTGGTAAAGTTGGACACATCAAGACGGTTTGCAGGAGTTCGAGTACTTATGTTGCTCAACATTCTTATAATTCTCCCAAGCTGTCTAGTAAAATGGAGTCTATGTGTCTTTCAACTTTTCAAAATACTCAAGCTAATCCAACGAAAACCTCCACTGCAAGTTCAGCAACGCAAGTATCAACTGTATTCAAAAATGAGGTAGCTAAGTTGCAATGTGAACTGTCGAAAGCACGAAAAGACCTGAATGAGATGAGAGAGCAACTGAATAAAATTGAGGAATTACTGCATATGCATAGACTACGTCTGGTGAATCCAGAGCATACAAGTTCTTGTGAAAGTCCTGCAAAACTATTCAAATCTCGAATTCTCAAAAAGCATCTGATGTCCACTACTTCTAATGTACATTATTACAAAGATAATAACTACAGACCTTCTGTTGGAATTATACTACAAAAAATGGGAAATCGAGTGGTGAAGATATTAGACATCAAAGATCACTCAGTTCATAACGGACACCTGGACAAAGTGACAATAAATGAAGTAGGTCGTTCCAATTATAATATTATTGATTCCGCTAATAATCCTGATTTTGTAGATAATTCAGAAATAAGTCCAGATAATACTGATGAAAATAATATCACAGAATCAGTTAGCTCGAAGCTACTTGCAAGCAAACCGAGACATCGTTATAAATACGCGAGGAGATATTCGAGGTGTGGCGGATGTGGTGATTGACAATTTCTATCTCTGTATTGTTTAAATACTTACTGTTGACTGTTGATATGTTTCTTATATGAATTGCATTCTAATTCCGCTAAATACAAATTACTGATTGCTGCCCTCTCTGGGTTTTGATTAGATTCCTATAATTCCGTCATCCCGGTATATTAATATTTCCAAGTACAATAAATTACTACATATATATATATATATATATATATATATATATATATATATATGGTGGTCTCTCTTTCTGTTTGCTCGCTTAGTCTGTGACCATTTACTTTGATGAACCTGTCTCCTTTAACAATGTATTTCCCCTTATATTATATATAATATGAGTGTTTGTTGACAGTCCGTTGCTTGGTGACATATATCCATATTATATGTGTGGTTGTTGACATGTCTGCTATATTTTGCTATGTATATATGGATCGATACTCCATTATAATTAGCCATTCATGTTATGACTGTCTATTGATTTGTTCACACTCTTGTCTGGACATTCATATATATTTCACTCTCTCAATCTTGTGTGACTACTTTGGTGTGATACCACTTATTGCGTCTCCTTGTGTTTGGAAAATAGAAGTATCATCGCAAACCTAGTGGTCTTCTGATTTCCGCCTTCTTGCGTTAGGACTATTAAATTCTCGACCAGTACATAACAATAATTTGGCGACGAGTACATAACATATATTCATGGATTTTTGGGAAGAGAATGCAATTAAACCAGGTCATCAATAAAATATTGGTGGAGATATGTAGACGGCATGTTAGTAATCATGAAAAAGAACGATGTTGAGAAATTCTTCTCACACACACACACACATAAACAGTCATGTCGACTCAATAAAATTCACTATGGAAAAAGAGAATGAAAGATTGGGGAACTGTCTATGTTAGACTGCAAGTTACAAAGAGTAACAGATGGTAGCAGAAAAACAACGCTACGTAAAAAAAGCTACACACTCTAGGAGATTCCTTGATTATCATCACTCAGCTCACCCATTCACAGTTAAAACGAGGATTAATAGAAGGCCTTGCAGACAGAATACGTAGACTTACAACAACACCAGACGATCAGTGAAAGGAAATAAACGTTTTATTGAAAGTGTAACTCGACAACAACTACCAGAAGAATTTATCAGAGATAATATTAAAAAAAAAGGAAAAGGAGGGTAAAACCAGAG